GTTACTCCTACAGCCTCCCAGCCTTTGTGAAATCGCGCACCTAAAACGCTACATGTAGAGCCTCTTTGAACGCAAACTCCGTGTTCCACGCCCCCGGCAACTTTTAATTTCCGGGACAGAGCGACAGCCCCCCCCCCTCCCCCCGGTTTCACCTTTTATCATCATGCCTCATCCAAATTGCCGAACGCCAAAAAAAAATCCGGTCTTTCTTGAAGCAGCGAGATGGGTCAAAATAGTAGTTCTAATAATTGCCTATGCAATGGTGGATCTTCAGCTCCCGATGGTAAAACTGCAGAGATGCGTCTATCTGTTTGAAGCGTTGTAAACTTCCTGTCATACTTCGTTTTCTACACGGAAAACTACTGAACGTCATTTTTGGAAAGTTTCAGTGATTTTTCTTCTCTTTATGAAGAATATTCTGTGAAGATTTCAAGCCAGGATGTCGGTTTGGTCTCCTTATAAAAAATAAATTCTTTGGCACGGCTGAGTATTTGATCTGCGCTGGATAGCCTCATTTTTCTTACACATATCGCGGCACATAAAGTAAAATGAAAGCATTCTCTTCTGTAATTTCGCAATTCTTTTAAGGTGATTCGTCGAGCTCAAATGAAGTGGTCGAAGTGGAGTGCGCTGTATCGCATCGATTAGGTCAAAAATCTCGGCAGGTTTTGAATTTTTAGCGAAAAAAAGGACAATAGCCCCTGCGCATGAGCCTATGGAATCATTCTAAACCCAAAAATCAGCAAAATTCCGAGAAATGAAAGCAGAATAGTGTTTGGAAAAAAACCTCGCATTCGATACAGAAATTGATGGCTGAATCGAATGCGAGGTTTTTTTCGAATTTCATGTCTCGGAATTTTGTTAATTTTTGGGTTTAGAATGCTTCTTTAGGCTCATGCGCAGGGGCTATCGTCCTTTTTATCGCTAAAAATTCAAAATCGACCGAGATTTTTGACCTAATCGATGCGATATATCGCATGCCAGTTCGACCACGTCACTTGAGCTTGTCGAATCACCTTAAGCGAAGTTATGCATTTTTCCTCAAGCAGTCTTAATTCAATTAAGTCACGGACGACTGCACCTTGAAAAGTTTGAACAGCTGTGTAGTCATCGAAACTTAACCCATCATTGACTGAGTTGTGACAGCATGAACAACTAAACACATTAATACTTAATCTCATTTGGATGGAGAAACAAAAGGTTAAGTATTCTAGAAAAACCTTTGATACAAACATTGTCAAATAGATCGATTTTTCTCCGTGTGCAAAATCCAACATCGTGTGTCACAACACCAAAATTCAAGAGGTGTTATTGGAAAGGTGGAAAGAGAACACGCGCATCCGTACAGTAGTATCTGTTCAACCATGGCATATGCCTATTCATTAATATTTGTACACAACTCACAATCAGTGTTAGATTCTCAATCGATATCGGATTTTATTGTTATTAGTATCAGTCTACGGCGAATTAAACTAGATGATCTAGAGTCTTGTGTGTTCCCATTTCCTGTCTATGAACCAAGTTAATGGTATTTTATAAAATCATTGGGTCTCAGGCAAAATTCCCTCTTTTATTCATCATTAATGCACCAAGAAAAGAAAGGTGAAAACATCTCTTGTACTTCGTGCCAATGACATCGAAATTAGATGTCACACTGCTAGTGGATTTGTCAGTGACAGAATAGATATTAATGGTCAATCTTCATACAAAAAAAAAGAAGACGATTTTGCATGTGGGTGTGGGTAGGGAAATAATGCTCTCAACAACACCTCACCTTACTTTCTTTAAATTCACTGTTAGTTCTCTGATTTCCTCAACTACTAATAGGAGTGCGCCATTCAGTTTTTAGCTTTATGTAGTTCAGCGTTTCAACACAATAGTGAATGAAAATGAGTGATGAATCAATAGAGCCCATTGCAGATAACCTTCCCTTTTTCACTGTAATAGGGAATTCCCTATTCCACAGAACAGCAAGGAGGGTAAACTGCCTGAAATGGGCCCTGGCTATAATTGACAAGCACTTCAAAAATGCATTTCTCTGTGCAAATTGTAAGATTCAGGTTCAACCCACGTCAAAAAATGGCAGTTTGTACAAACTCTTGACTTCTATTAATACCTATCTCATTCTCGCTGAAGTGTACCTAAATCATGCATGTTCATACGAGAAAGTGAATCTCTAAAATGCCAGTTCAGAAGAGGCTGATTCACATCGATTTGTGTTCAAATCAGGATTTTGCTAGATATTCCACACTTTTTCGGCAAATCTGTTTGTATGATACAGTTCACAGTCTGAATAATTTATACCTTGTTTGTGGTTGAATATCAACGCAGAAACTGCAAAGTTGCATACATTGAAGTTTCCGCTTCTATTTAATTTTTAAGAAGGAACATCATGACTTGAAATGCTTACAATATACTCTCAGAGAAGTGCTACAAGTTGAGATACATATTTCTGTAGTTTCACCATCATTTTTTCTTCTTCAATACCCCCAAGGGAATAGTCTGATGCTTACAAATAGAGATGCACCCCTCTCCCTTAGTGCCTAATTGAGCCAGCCCCAGGTACCTGACCGTTGTTTGAAACCATCAAACTCGAGTCGTCTGGCCGCGCATTGAACCCGAGATATCCCGATCATACAGCGGGCACTACAACCTATACACCACAGGAGACCAACTTGCACAACAATAGGCACATTGGGACGGCATAAAACAAAGGTTTTCGATAAGCATATCGAAATATTGATCACGAATCGTGTATTTAACCCATAATGAATTGTTTGTATGAACATAACTGGTATTTCTGTCCGACGGAAACAAGAACTAGTAGCTATGACGTAATGTCAAAGTCTTAATCTCGTTTACATCATAGTTCAAGAGCGAAATATGGAAGCAGACAGGCAGTCCAAACCCATTTTGCCGATCCACAATGCAGCAGGCATGATACAGGAGGTAATACATATTTATAGGGATATTCTTGCAAGCATTTTCGGGGTGTTCGTTCTTGTTATACACCTTCATGATGAAGAAAACAACAATGAACACATCCTCCGCCGGGCAGAACTCAAATGTTTTCAATTACGTCTAGACTTAGGTTGAGCTTCACTCTAAAGCAGAAGCATGCAAGTATTGACAAGCTTCAGTGCAATTACGAAACGAAGGAGTACATGAACAGCACCCAGATTCAGTGATATACTACGGAGAAAGATAAAATACCGGGTGATCCGGGATATCCCTATTCGGAGAACCATTGAAAATCGAGTTGTAAGGGCCAGGCCCGCCACAAGGGTAGGGATACTGGGTCCATGGTACCAGGGCCCGGGCCTTGGACCCAGTATCCTCACCTTTGTGACAGGCTTGGGTTTCATAACTTAATTTTCAGTGGTTCTCCGGATAGAGATAGTGGACGGGTGGTCTGAATCACCCAGTATGTACCTACACCTACTCATTTATATCAAGCTACTTTACTTGCATTATAACAAATGCTGAGTAGATGTATGAATATGAGCAGAAAAATTAATCAGTCTGCCGGCAAGCTTTGGTGTTACATGTCATAGGATCAGAAGATGTGTGCTCTTGGAGGGATGAAAAACAAAGAACTTCATAGGACTCTTTGTCAGTATTTACCTTAGACAAGCAAATTTATGGATGTAGCTGATAATGAAATTTCCTCACCAAGAGAAAAAGAATCTTAACCTACACTAAACGTTCGCGATGATACAAGCTAAACTAACAGAAAAATAATCACAGGAGGATCGGACTTGAGTGTATGAAAACGAAATAAATACGTATTAGCGTTCGTTCGGCATGGTAAACGTAAACGTAGAAAACATGGAGACAAGCACACTTCGGTGAACTTGCGACACTCGCGCGAAAGCACAAGATGCGAAACCACTGCACTTACAAATAAATTAGAAATATTTCTTCAGAATAATGCGTAGTTTAGAATTAGGATATGAAAACTGTAAATCGCTGGTATAAAGAATGAAGAAAGAGAAAACACACGGACACACGACGAAAAAACACTTCACTGATGGACGTTAGCGGCGTGATTGCGAGCCCGAGTGATGGTGAGGATTTGGGTTTGAAAGAAAGCTGGAATGGAATTTAATCAGATTAAGAACTTTGTTAGGATCTAAGGAAGAAAAGGAGGGATGAAAATTAACTTACAGTGTGGGAAGGCGATGAAATTAGGCTGAAAAGCTGGAGCGACTTCAATTCACAAGAATACAGAAGCACCGGGTTGGCCACACAGGATAACTGAATCGTAAGAGGGGTAAGAGGTAAGACAATAAAGCGACGCACAGAGGTTTGACATGGTGGCACTTGATGAAAACTGACGTCATAAAGTTAGTAGGGCGCGAAATTTTTCAGTTTCAAAGAACGAAGTTGACCTTCAATAGTCAGTCTTGTGATTTTATATTATTTTAGAAATATTTTTTTTAAAAAAATGAATTCAACCCATATAACTGGCATAAGACAATATTTTTTCCAGGGTAGAGTTGGGAGGAAAAGCTATCAGTGGATGTACCTTAATAGGGATACCCCCCCCCCCCCCCC